GTGTGTGTGTGTGTGTGTGTGTGTGTGTGTGTGTGTTTTGTTTTTTTCCTCTTGATCTGTGCTCCAGACGTCATTCTTAGAATAGACTGTCCGATGGTGTTTCTTGTGTAGATTTTGTTGCCTGCTGTTACCGTTGTTGTTGTAAATGCTGTCGTCGTAGTTGCTGTTCGTATATTTGTTGTTGTTGTTGTTGTTTTTGTTGTTGCTGTTGTAGTTGTTGTTGTAGTTGTGAGGTAACGGTGTGCCCACTGCAACAATATGCAAACTATTTTTCAATGAGTATTAAGTTGACCCCTATTTTTCTTTTCTTATTACAGGCCCTAACTCTGCGCAGAGACGCCGAGGTCGTCAGACGTACAGTCGGTACCAGACACTGGAACTGGAGAAGGAGTTTCAGTTCAACCACTACCTCACCCGGAAACGGAGGATAGAGATTGCGCATGCGCTGTGCCTCACGGAGCGGCAGATCAAGATCTGGTTCCAGAACAGGAGGATGAAGCTGAAGAAGGAGAAGCTGGCTATCCAGGAGCTGAACAGTCATTGTAAGCCGGAGTTCAAGGACGAGGACGAGTTGTCTGATGACGGAGACAGTGACTACCGGCATGACAGGACGGTCGGCAAAGGTTAAAGGTCGCAGGGACAACGGGTACATCAGATACCGGACTGATGGATACATGGCTAGGCTTTCTTAGATCGGAGAAAGTCTAGGTACAGGTCAAAGGGCATCGCATCATGATGGAAGAATTGCGTGAGGCGAAATGATTAATCTCACGAGGCGAGCACAGCATCACTGCACGACATTCTTCGCCCTCTAGTCGACTGCTCTGTTTTCGTACTGTGTGGTTAGTAGGGCGTGAGACTCTGACAACATCAAACTGTGCTGCCAGACTTCACGTGATATTTCCTCTTCACTTCACTGTGGGTAAAATCACGTGATATATGACTGCCAGAGAGACAGACATCAATACATGGACCTACGAGTCTCTTACAAACGGCTTGTCATGTTTGTGCACGATGGGAAAAAATAAACCTTCAGGTCACTGCTCTAGAATGTTCGTTAGAGGAACAGAGATGAATGGGTGCGTATGACCAGACAGCCAGTCACCGATGCTCTTTGTGAAACGTCTGAAAGAAAACGAAATTCTCCCCTGTCCCCTTTCCAAACACCTCTTTGAAAGTTAAAACACCAAGTCAATACGTTGAACAAATAAATAATTAGAAATAATCCTAGAAATAATAACAGTTCTGCTATGGAGAAGATTCTGTCGTTTCGCCTCAAGTTGAAACTTGAAGTTAGAGGGACCGAATGAACTCAGAAATTGACCACGTTTTTCTTTGGAGTGCTGTTGGGAGAAGGTTTGATCACGCTAGATGGTCGGGAGTGAGAAAACGGGTTCTATCAAGATGAATCTTCACTGCTGTGAAATTAGGCCGAGGAGAACTCTTGCTTGTTTTGATGAAAAGAGGAGCAAAATGCCGAACTTGCATTGTTGCCGCTGCCAGGTCCTCTATACCCAGTGCACACTGTCTGTCGAATTCATCAAAATTGATTCAGTTGGGGCCTGCCAGCTTCTTCTTCAAGGCTTCATCTTTGGCACTGCACAGCTCAACCAATTTCAACTAAATTCGACTGCGACGTTCAAACACCAACTTAAATACGTTTTCTTGATGTTGTTGTTGTAGTTGTTGCTGTAGTTGTTGTTGTTGTTGCTGTTGTTGTTGTTGTTGTTGTTGTTGTTGTTGTTGTTGTTGTTGTTGTTTGTTAACAATGTAGGGAGTTGAATCGATCATATATTATTGTGCCAAAATGGTAGCTATTTTCCGTGGCATAAAGGAAAATTTAGTGGGCTTGATTAAGTCAGATTGAGCCAGGTGGCAGTCGGTGTGTACTGGGTATTAATCAACACTGACATGGCTTCTGTGTGTGAAAGAGATCTGATTCAACAAGGAGTTTTGTGGCGTTTGCAGGCTCTGTGAATGTGACAAACGTCCTCAGTGAAAAAAAATAAACGGTGTGATGTGCATCCTGCCTAAAAACTTTAACGAGAATTATGTGCTGTTGATGTAAATGAACAGTTATTTTGTCTATGTCTGTATTTCATGCTTATGAAACATTTTGAAACTCGATGCGTCATACGTGATATGAAAACTACATGATTTATAATATGTCAGTTTATTGAACAAATTGTATGTCATCAATATTCATGTAATATCTAATTCATGTTCAGATGTAAACACAGTCAAAATTGTTGTCCAAGATAGCGACTCTCTGTTGAGAAGCAAAGTGGTTGTTTTATACAGTTGGACGTACAAGAAAGTGTTATTATGGTGTAGAAAAATCACAAGAATGAGAGGGTGAGATGATAAGTGGTCCTTTGTGCAGGTGATTGTCTTGGACAAATGGCCGTTAGAAAAGGCGACGTTCAACTATACATACATAAATACATGTGTATTAGAGACACAATGTGCGCTATGACTGTTCAGTTTTTCAATTGTGTAGTGTACACAGCAAGAAAACTAATCAAAAGTCACAGAGACATGAGTTTACGTGTGTCAGCTCGCATCAGAGCATACACACATTGTCATGCCTATACATATACATGAAAAATGTTGTTAAAGACAAAAGTTATTTCAAAAAAGGTCTAAAAGGAAAATAAATCAAACTGAGCAGCTTGGCTTGCCCAAAGTTAGAAAATAAAATTAGCATTAGCACGACCCATTTTTAAACCGACACACACGCAGTCGTCAGCTTTTTGATGGAATACATTTAAAACATAATTCACAACTAACTGTGTTTTGACTAATGAGTTGGAAGATTTTTTTAAAATGAGGGTTTATATCGTGTAAAATGTTTATACTGCATACATTCACGTGGTTTCTACACGTATTCTTATTACGAATATGGCTGGCGGCATGTTGTTTTCAAGTCTACACCCAGTATACAAAAGTTTTGCGGATAGAGGGGGAAACAAAACTATTTCAAGTGTTTCGCAAATTCAACCAGCGCTGTGTATCTTTTATTTGACTTTTGTTTTCCACATTTACAATTTGAGTTTCGATCTAAACATTTTTACGTGTTATACATAGAAAAGATACCGAGGAGTAATATTCTGGAGAAAAAAAATTAATAACTACTGAGCTTAGTTGAGCTGAACTACTGGCTGACGATGATTCTAAACCTATTTGTTGGTATCTAAAATCACATTGTAATCTCAGAGTAAAACTGTATCAAATTATATAGTTTTGCAGTGTACGTACAGTCCTGTTTTATTGTGCAGTGAAGATCGCTTCATTTACATCATTCTATTCATCATTTCATTTTAAGATCTGTATGTTTTTATTCGTTTTGGAGCCTATTCTAACTATAAGTTGATTTATCCGCGACGTGATCTAACATCATGTGACACGTTCTTGCATCACGATGTACAGAATTATTTTATCTTCATAATGATATGTGATTTATCAGGTGAACATGAGTATGAAGAAGATTAAACTCTTTTGAACGGTTATTATTGTTATAGTGATTGTTATTATTATCACGTTATAGTAATAATAATAATAAAATAATAATAAGTGATAATAA